GGAGACCATCTATGTTGAACTGTAAAGTAAGAGTTCTGAGGCTCACTGGTAAACTCAAACATTTCAATCGTGAAAGTATCCCTTGCACCAATCCAAAATGGTAGTACTCGCCACCTTGCATTTGAGTGGTTGCAACATCATGTTGTGTTCTAAGCAGAGTTCTTCCATCCTTAGGGAGCATAAGGTGAAAAAGCTTTAAGATGGACAGCAGAGCAGACAAAGCAACCAGACTGATTGAGTAGGATGTTGCCCAATATCTTAGGCTCCTCATAAGCAGATCCTGACTAGGCTGATGCTCGTCATGGCTGTCGGAGTCAGAATCTGATTCAACATTCCCAGCCACACTACCATCAGTATGATCATTTCCCATTTGTACATGATCTGATTCAACTTCATCATCTCCAGCTAAACTACCATCAGTATGATCATTTTCCATGTGTACATGGGAAGCTAGTGGTGTATCTAGTTGGGAAACGTGTGAGATTCTGAAGGGTGGTTCCCTATTCACACAGGGGTCTAAATGTGACTTGTTATTATAAAGAGTTTCCTCGTATTCCATAAGGATATCTTTCTCCATGTCCCTTACAGTTCTGATGACTCTACGTCTTTTAGACCAATAAGAAGCCATCTTAGGTAAAGAGAGGTGGCACTGCTATAATTACTTTACTTGGCCTTGTGTATTGCAGTGATCCCCTTGACTCGTCTTGTAGTATAATCCTGAAAATGGAGGAAAACAAAGCAGATTAAAAAAAAGTATGCATAAACTAACAGTACAAATATATATCAGCCTCCTGGTGCAATGCAAATTACATTACATTTAGCTGACGCTTTTATCCAAAGCGACTTACAATAAGTACATTCGACCAGGAAGACACAACCTTGAAGAAAACAGAATCATATAAGTACATCGCACAGCAAATATAACTGTACTGACGAAATTCCCTAGAATTACACGTTTTATTCCATGGGTCTTCAACCAGGAGTCCAGGACCCCTGGGACATACATTTTACCCAAATATCCTATATGATGCTTTAGCTTGACTATATCAGACCCAGGGCTCGAAATTAACTTTTTTCCTCAGTGTCCCACAACTGTCCCGAATTCTACTTTGTATTGTCCCGGATATAACCAGCAGTGTCCCAAATTTAAATGTGTATCGTCGCCCCCCCCATACATATAATTTGATACTTTTTTGTCACTTAATCATCACACCATAGACTCTGGTCCACCATGTAAGTTTAAAATAAATCTTTTAAACATATGAATATTAGTCTGATCTGTTGCCTCTCCTAGAGTAGAAGGGAAGAGAGTTGTTTTAAGACATGCTTTTCTATTGTTTCTCAATATCCAGACTAATTTATCATTGTCATGTCAACATAGAAGAATTCTGATTTGTATTTTTCAATTCAATATGGTATGGCTGCATGGTCTCTGTGTTTTATGATCGGAACCCTCCATCTGGCAATAAAAGTGGTATGAATGACAGAAGTTCCATAATACAGTTTAATAAATGTATCTGTTTTCAGTTCCAATTACAAGTTATCCTCACAAGTCAGTAGTACTATAGGAATATAAATTGATCTTCTATCTTCATTCATGAATGTCAATCATCTTGCTCTCACTCATTCACCCCCCCCCCCCCCCCCCCCCCCCCTAGGCACAAAAACAACTGGAACATTACTCTCTCTTAACATGACACATTATTCTCATACCAGAGTTGATTCTTGACAAACTAAAATTACCTTGCGACCCCCTTTCTAATCGTCCCCCAATCTGACTGACGTTCTTGACCCAAAAACTAAAACACTAAAAAAAGATGAAAAGCTAAATGATTAGCTAAATGCAGCTAAAGATTCTAGCCTGGTCACTGACTGGCTGACAAAGAAAATACAAAAATGATCGGCTACACCTCTTATTCTGATCAACTGTATTTCACATCATTTTCACAAACTTCAAAAGAACACCGCATTTTAGGACGTTTGTATGCATTGTAAGGCACACTTCAGTTGCTTCAGTTAGCGCTAGCTAACATTGACACTTAAGACAACTAACTTACCACAGTGGAAGACGATGCATCATGACCAGGACTTGGGATGTTTTCGTTTCGGGAGTCGGCAGAATTGGGGCTTGCATCAGGGAGCTGTTTATTCAACCACCTCAGCATTTCTTTCTTATTCTTGGCGCGAGTCCAGCAGCAGTCAGCAGCAGAGTGGATGACGGAGAATGCATTCTATGATTGACAGCCGAATGACTTTGCAAATAACACCCATTTTGAAGTTTACTTTTAATTTTTTTTCCACTGTCCCGAAATAGTCCCAGACAAAATAGATGTGTGTCCCAGTAGGAATTGTTATGGTCCCCGGGACATCGGGACATCGTTAATTGCGAGCCCTGATCAGACCAACTTTGATGTAATTTCTGTAGGATGTAGGGATGCCAGAAACTGACCATGATCAAAATCGGCGGGGTCGGTGTGTAGCAAGCTGCAGCAGCAGTCTGCGCAGGGCAGCCTGCGCTGCTGGCTTCCTCCAAGTTTTACAGTCAAAACTGGTGGTGTGACCAATGGCCATTTACAATGATTAATACTATTACTATTATTAATCTATATTGTGGTTGAAACTAAGCCAGAACAAAAAACTTAAATAATAAAAATATATATAAATAAAATCGAATTTTAAAAATAATCTTCGATTATGGAGACTGTAACGAATAATAGATTAATCGCTGGCATCCCTAGTAGGATGGTAGTTTAATGTCAGATTGTGTTAGCTAGTGTATCTGCTGCGTTAGCTAGGTGCTAGCCAGGGCAAGATAATATCAACTGCGTCATGCGATGAACTGTTTAATTAATTTATGATATAGGCTATATTATAAAAAAAGATATGCACAATTTCACCCAAATATCCTAAATAATGCTTTAGCTTGACTGCATCAGTGGACACTTTATGTAATTTATGTAGGATGGTAGAGTTTAATGTCAGATTGTGTTAGCTAGCGCTGCGTTAGCTAGGTGCTAGTCAGGGCAATACAAATATCAACTGCGTCATGGGATGAACGACGTTAAATTCGTTGATGATATATATTATTATAAGTAATTAGTTCCCACTTTTGCGCTCTGAATAGCCTAAAAAAACATAACAGGGTGTAACTGAGGTGAACATATAGAGTAGGCATGCACAACGGTCACGTTACATTTCTTACCGATTTGTGATATCTGTCTCTTCTCTTCAGGCGGCTTGGCGGCAACTGAACTGCCTGCCTTCCTCCACACCCTGAGGTGTACGCTCTTTCACGTGACCAACGTGCTTTCAAGATTAAGTGCAATGTGCAACAGGCATGACGGGTAATCTGTGACGTTTCGCTCTCTCAAAAAATTGGGCCATTTTGTCTTCATGCACAGCAGGGTTGCGTTCCGATAATCCAAAAATTAGCTCCTAAATTCTAACCCTATCTCCTATTCCTTGACCTCTGAGTGAAACGTCACGGGGTTAAGGGATAGTGGATAGGAGAATTCAAAAGGATTTAGGAGAAGAGACCGCGGTACTTTAGAGAATCCGAATGCACTTTCACTATCCCACGTGTTTCTGATGCGCCAGCGGACGTCCTGAATGAGCGTCTGCTGCTGTGGGGAAACTATGGAGACTACAGTTCTCTATACAGCGGACTACAACATGGATGTTCAATAAGAACGAGGGACTCCTGTGAACTCATCTAGAGACTCTGTGCTCTGACGCTGTTGCTTTATGCTTTATGAACGTGGACAACAGAGAAACATATTCTTCAGGACCAAAGCTGGAATTGAAATAAAAAGGAAAGTGAAACTTCTGCTCGTCCCCCTCTCCCTCCGGTCCACATTAATACAAATGATCCCAATACGTATGATTGTATGAACTATTAAAATATCTTAAAAATCAATACAAATGTATTTATTATAAACGTTAGTCCTTAACATCTATCACTGTGTATATCACCATTCAAACATCTTTTAAAAGTTGAACAAACCCCACAGCTCAGTAAAGACTGTGAGATGTTGACTTTATTTGATCATTTCAGTAAAAACTAACGTTCATATTTCTCTCTTTGATTATAATACTGATGAACGTTCAGAACAAAGCACTTTGGCAACTTACCACATACGTTTTAAAATGCGTAATAAGCACCGTCACTTTCATGATATAATTTCTCTATGGGCATAGATATGTCTCATAATTATTTGTGTGAACATAAAAATAATTTGTGTGTAAATATGTGATTTGTAAATTTAAAACATCCACAAATGCATTTAAAAGATTTGCAAACTCACAAATACATTTGCAAATGTAAAACGGATCTGCAAATACGCTAAATATTTTCACAAATAAAAAAAGATCTGTGAATATCTCTTTAACATTTACACCTTTCGATCAGGTATTTGTGAATCTATTTTGTATTTGTGGACCAAAAATGCGCTTGCGGATCTCAAATCTCAGTTCGCGGATCGTCTTTTTACACACACGGAATTTGAGACATATTTTCCGCCGGTCTCGGCTAAAATCTACTCGTGTCACTCGGTTATTTTCGGAAACCACGTGATGGCCTGCTGATGGCGACATTTCCGCATGATTTCAAAGTAAGAGCATGATGGTTTGTTTAATACTCTGTTTTTGTATTATAATGAACAGCGGAACGTTGGATGTATTCTTCATCACCATAACCCTGACCTAAATACGGTGCTTTTCTACAGATTACTTTATTACTGCACTGGTAAGGTAAAATTAGGCCGATTAATAAGATGTGAAGTGCTTTGTAACTTCGACCCGCTTGACTGAATACACAACAAACAATGAAGAAAGAGTTTTATCTGGTTCATGTGATGTGTACAAATACAAATTGAGCATTAGAACTTTTTTTTTTTCAACCAACAATTTATGTTAACATAAGAAACTGTAAAATCTCAATATTTACAATATCAGAACTTTTTCAACCAACTATTCATTATAAATGTAAAGACAGGGGGAGCAGTGTCATGGTCTTTGTCTGTCTTCCAGGACAGGGGGTCTGGCTGATGTGTGCATGGGCTGCTGGTGGCTGTGTCGGAGGGAGGTAGGTGTGATTGTCCCAGGTTGATGCTGGTGGCCGTGTGGGAGGTACGTCTGCTAGGCGAGACTTCTTTGCTGGCTGGGTTGATCGTGATGGCTGTGGTGGAGGTCTTTGTCCCGAGGTGTATCTTAATCTTGTGGCAGATGGAGATGGAGGCCACTGTAGTGATGATGGTCCTCTGGTCCTTTGCGGTGAAGGCTCTTGAGCCACGGTAGATCTTGACCTGGGGGCAGGGACAGATGGAGGTTCTTGCTGCTAGGCCCAGGCAGCTGTGAAATCTGAAAAAATATATAGGACAATAATTACTACTAAGTTTGTTAAAATAAAGTTCAAGTGGAATGTTTCTCAAGCACAAATAACAATGCACAACTCAAAATAAAATGCTCTCTCTCTCTGGAGGAGGAGGAGGAGGAGGAGGAGGAGGAGGAGGAGGAGGAGGAGGAGGAGCGTGTGAGAGATAGAAAGAGAGACGTTGTTAGTATTTGGTGCTAGCTCGGAGCTAACGGAGATTAGAAGCCGTTTCAACAATAAGGAGAGGGAGAGCTCTCTCCTGTGGGACTGAGAGAGATAACGTCAGCTCAGGGAGGTTTGGTCATCATTTCCATCTATGTAATATTAGTTGTATATAAAATGAGTTAATAAATCATTCCACTGTGTGCAATAGGTCAGTACAAAATAAAAAACACAATTTGAAAGGGGAGTGATTAGTAAAATATGCATAAATAAAAAGAAAGAATGCAGACTAGGTAAGATAAAGATAGGAGAGAGGAGTTGATCAAATATGTGTTATTGCTTGTGAGCAAGCAGGATTTTTGATGATTGAAATATATATTAGTACCCACCCTAGAGGATGTGAGGTCATCACAAATAAAACAGGTTCACATGGATAGGATACTAGATAAGTGTGCACACTCATATATACACTACACATTTTTCTTGGATTTGTTAACACTATAGTCCCTAATATATTTGTAGAAAGGCAGGAAATGGAATTAAATTGAGAAAATGTTTCATTGCCCCCTGTTTTGTGTCCCCCCCACTTCTCAAACCAAAGTTACACCCTTACAATGCAAGTGCACTATTACTGTAATATTTACATTTACCTATCTTCAAATGGATCCTTGTTGCTGTATTCTTCTTCTTCAGGAGAGTAGAAGCCTCCAGGTTCTGATGCTCCATCTCCACTGCTGCTACTGTTACAAGTCTGCTGTGCAGAGCTGGTAATCAGATAATAAGCCTGTTGATCAGGAGAAAATAATGAAGCAGAGGGAAAGTTGCTGCAGTTTGTGTGGTCGTTCTAGCCAGAATGTATTAAATAAATTAATAAATTCACTTACAAATTATATCTGTTTTCTCTATTTATCATTCTTTGTGTAACCGGTCTGGATTGACGCCACATGTATCTCTGCGTTGTGTCGAATGAAAACGACTTCCTTCTTGTCAACCAGGTTTATTATCTGTGCAAACAGAATATAATGACAGCAGGAAATGGCTTCACCAGCTTTCTACCTCAATACTTCGCCTCAGTGAGGCCTGAAGCTAACTGAGAATGTAAACATACTTTTAGCAAATCAAAATAACCGTATGACATATGTATCTCTAATCAAAAATGGACATACATCCAGATGCCATATTATGACTTTGATGAAGGATTAAAGCCTTTTTCATTTACAGTATATCATACAGTGATTACAGATAACACACACAACCCGGTCGACTGTACTCACTTTAACACTGCTATGTTGTACAGGCACACTATTAGCATAGCATTAGCGCTTTAGCATTTAAATAATATGAACAATTATGACCTCAGACCAGCATTTCACATATTTATACAAACAGAATAAACTTGAAATGTAAGCCAAACTAGTGCAAGGGAGTCATACACATGGTAACATGGTAGAGCCCTACATTATTCAGGGAGCAACAGCCTGCGCTAAAGAAGCTAGCGGACGCCATTAGCCACACGCTAGTGGCGTAGCTCACAGAATGACATTAAACTACACATAAAACAGTTTCAAAGACACTTCTTTGATCGAAATATGACATAATCTGTGTACACACTACTAACCTGTTGAACAGGAGAAATGAATGAAGCAGATGGGAACGTTGCTGCCATGTGTCTGGTCGTTCCATGGATGTATAATCGTTCTTCTTCTCTCGGTTTTTTGGCGGATTGCAAACAACTTTAAGGTGCATACCGCCCCCTACTGTACAAGAGCGTGTATCAAAATATCATCCTGTCAGCACTTGTGGAATTATACCACTGTGTTTACGTTGTTTTCAATTCTTCCAATCAATCCTTTTTCACTCAAATACTTAAGAATGGCCTTCCTGGTAGCTCTTACCCCCTCACCTTCTGTTCCCAGTATCCCCATCAGGCTCCACTCTCCCTGTCTCTTAGTTTTTCCCTCTCTGTTTTGTACATGTTGCAGTGTAATATGATATGTTCCACATTTTCTTTAACTCCACAGTTCCTAACACATAGAGTAACATTCAATGCTGTGTGATCCAGTCTGAGTCTAGCTATCAGGATTTCCTAGATGAAGTTCTATGAGTAATTCTTCTCTGACAGTTGTTGTTGACTGTATACTTTTTTAAATGGATAATGAATCTGTGCATATCACCACCCTATCTGGTCTGACCTCTTCAACCCACTGTAATCCTTTTATTACAGCCAGCATTTCTGCACACTGATAATTGATCTGACGCTCTTTTTGAAATTGATATTTTAAAGTCTGGGACCAACTCCAACACACTCTTCCTTGTTCTTAGAACCATCGGGCGGTGGTGGTGAAGTCCATAGGGACTTGGCTTGGCAACTGGAAGGTCACCAGTTCAAGTCCCGGAAAGACCAAGTGCTACCGAGGTGTCCCTGAGCAAAGCACCGTTCCCTACACTGCTCCCCGGGCGCCGTACATAATGGCAGCCCACTGCTCCTAACACTAAGATGGGTCAAATGCAGAGAAACCGTTTCGTTACACGGTACCTGTACTGTGTAAAGACAATAAGTTGAATCTATCTATCTGTGTATATTTTGAGGTATTTGTGATAATGATTGATTAATTGTTGATTGCACCTATACTCAACCGTAATGCTTTATATTGTAATCTATCCATTTTTAGTAATGACGTTTTCGCTGCTGCTGCATATATATTATACACCCGTAATCCAGAGTTGTCCTCATAATTGCTCTATAGATGTCAATTAGTGCCTGTTTGTCTGCCCCCAGTCTCATCCAGCCACTGCTCTTAACAGGTTCAAAACTTTTTGGGATTTTGTTTCCAAATGTTTAATATGGGTTTTCCATGTACATTTACTATCTAACCATAGCCCCAGATATTTAAATGCATTGACCTCATTCATCGGCTTTCCATATGATGTAAGCTTCTCAGTCTCCATCTTGCGTTTATTTGTAAATGTCATGAAGCAAGATGTGCTTGCTGACAGTTTGAAACCCCAGTTGTATGACCACTTCTGGAACATTTCTTCCCCTTATCCATATGTCCCCGTCATCTGCATACAACGCAGATTTGATGCATCCGTCCAACTTAGTCAATATGTCATTTATCATAATGTTAAATAATATCAGGCTGATTGAACTCCCTTGGGGAATACCATTTTCTATATTGAAGTCTTTCGAAACCTCTGCCCCTACTTGAACTCTGAATTTCCTGTCTGAGCTATGATCCTGTTACTGTCACTGTTACTGTCACCTGTCACTTAATTTGATGAGTAACCCATCCCTCCACATAGAGTCATAAGCCTTATCAATGTCAAAATATACTATTGCCATAACCTCTTTCATTTTCAGTGTCTTCACACGGTATTCCCACCTCATTGATCACTCTAACCAAAGCATTGTGGATCTTCCTTTGCGAAAACCAGTCTGGAAATTACTCAGCAACTCTCTTTGTTCTAAGACATGTCTATACAGTATGTCATCTTCTCCATCCATTTACACATTTGTGGCTGGACGCTGGCTAGTGCCGCCCTACACACACACACACACACACACACACACACACACACACACACACACACACACACACACACACACACACACACACACACACACACACACACACATACATACACTCTCTTGTGGCTGGACGCTGGCTAGTGCCGCCCTACACGCACACACACACATACACGCTATCATGGCTGGACGGTGGCTAGTGCCGCCCTACACACACACACACGCGCACACACACACACACACACACACACACACACACACACACACACACACACACTCTCTTGTGGCTGGATGCTGGCTAGTGCCGCCCTACACACACACACACACATACACGCTATCATGGCTGGACGCTGGCTAGTGCCGCCCTACACACACACACGCGCGCACACACACACACACACACACACACACACACACACACACACACACACACACACACAGACATAATATATTTATTGTGCCTTTTTATTTGCTCGTATTATGATGGGATTTGGTGTAATTTAGTAAATGGTTGTGAGTAGTTATACACATACCACTTCAATCTCATTAGTATGCATAGAAAGTGACAGGTCACACCTCACACATACACGCTATCATGGCTGGATGCTGGCTAGTGCCGCCCTACACACACACACGCGCGCACACACACACACACACTCTCTTGCTGCTGGATGCTGGCTAGTGCCGCCCTAAGCACACACACACACACACACACACACACACACACACACACACACACACACACACACACACACACACACACACACACACACACACACACACACACACAAACTGTTGTGGCTGGATGCTGGCTAGTGCCGCCCTACACACACACACACACACACACACACACACACACACACACACACACACACACACACACACACATAATATATTTATTGTGCCTTTTTATTTGCTCGTATTATGATGGGATTTGGTGTAATTTAGTAAATGGTTGTGTGTGAAAAATGTATATCCCTAAAAAGTGTTGGTGTATGATCACATTTGTATTTGAAAATGTCTGAAGTTCATAAAAACATTCTCAGTGTTCAAGTCAATCACTGAAAAGGGTGACGATATCATAAGGTTCAAGGTTCTTTATTGTCAAACTAACATAGCAACAGAGTAATTATGTCGTTGAAAATCTTAGGTCCAGCATCCAACAGTGAATATAAATATAAAATCTAAGTGTTAATGATTGTCAGTAGAGATGGGATGGAAGAAGGTGCTATATATATATAATTCCAAAGCTGGTAAAGACCTTTCAAATGTAGCAATAATAGTCATATAAGAAAAGTACTGATCTAATAACAGATTTGTTCTTGAATCAACTTTTTCATGTAATTTTATTTCATTTTAAATAAAATGAAACATTCACAGTTAATGTAATTAGATTATACATTATTAATGCCATATATGTTTGCATACATTCACAGTACATATTTATTCAGTATGATAGCTGTCTAACATAAGTTAAATCCATTTCTCACTTATTCTGACAATCTACTTAACCCAAAATAAAAGAACCCAATAAAAAGAGTTGTTAAATAATAGAGAAGTCACGTTATAATATGAAGTCACGTTGTAATAACAATAACTAATCTAACTAACTAACTAATCTCTCTCGTCAGATTAATATTGTCGGGTGTTCTTTTTCTGCTTTGCCAAAGACCACTGTGTCAAGTGTCCCATTTGGGTTGCCGTATGTAGCAGACCATCTCGCACATGCGCAGTACAGATCGGGCAGGGGGTGCAGATCGGTAGTGACAGAGGTAATCGTCGTAACCAGCAGTCTTCATCCGCCTCTATCCAGTCTTTGACACTTGGAAAACGAGCACATGTGATACTGGTAAGGATAAACTAATGTTAATATATATATATATATTAATATAATTTCACATACCGAAACGTTAACGCTTGTCTGAGTATATCTTCCGTTGACTCTGGCTGGGGGTCTTACCGGCTGTTGATAGCCTTTATAAGCTAACGCTAGCATGCTTTATTCAGACATTAGCCTTTAGCCCGCTTGGATTTATGGGTCGCTAACGTTACTAGTCCGGTAGCTCATTTAAGAAAATGTAACGTTATTTATGGGAAACGTTAGCCTACGTGTGTCTGGCCGTGACTGACTGAGTAGGCCGTAAAAGCTTGAGCTAATGTTTAGCATGCGCTAACGTTTAGCTTGTGCTAATGTTTAGCATGCGCTAACGTTTAGCATGCTTTATTCAGACCACGCATTATCCAGTGAAGAACACTCAGCAGAGCATATATTTCTCAACACAACATTAACTGTAACGTTAAATGTTCTTAACCGAACTAGTGGACTGTAAAAACACTACCCACCCATGACTCCAATTCCACTACAGGCTAAAGTCAATGTCTGAATAAAGCATGCTAGCGTTAGCGGTCTACCAGCATGAGTCATGGCCAGATTCAAAGGTAAATATACTCAGACAAACATTAAGTATATTAACTTGACCTTTTCTTAACTGAGGCTTGGTGGCCTGTAAACAGTATGAACAGGCGGGCTGCGTGTTTTCTATTGTAAA